TCTGAATGCCACTATGTTCACATTACAGCTTCCCCAACCTCACTCATATCTTCATTTTCGCATTTAATTTAATTCCCAATCTCATTCGGGTCATACAATAACCAAATTTCCCTTCTGAACCTAAATTTATCAAGCTTAAATCCATTACCCATTATGAGTTCTGGTTTGATCATGAATTTTTAAAACTTTATTAATATTACCCTTGTTAATCCCTTTAAAACATTTATACACCTCAATCATATCCCCCCTAACTCGGTACCTCTATAGAGAATGTAGATCAAGTTTTTTAATCTGTTATACGGTAGATTTAAGCATTGCATAAGTAATTTTTTTTTTCGTTTTTTAGTCTTAATTTTTATTTTATCTTTGTTTACATTTGCAGATAGTGGTTCGTTCTCCTGCATCCTCTTCCTCTTCTACCGCATAAGTTACTTGCTCACGGCCACCATGCATGTTCCAGTGTACTGCATGACTGTTGCCCACTGCATAATAGAGTACAGTACAGTAATGTATGTTAATTTCTAGCTGTAAAGTGAATATGAATATCTTTTGTATACAGTACTCTTAAAAATAGATACAGGGCTTTCTGCTTTGCTATGTAGTAATAAAATATGTTTTTTACTTATCTTATATCTTTAGCATGGTGTGTGTGTGTTAGGTTTGGAACGTATCTATGCCCTTTATCATTGATTCCTATGGAAAATTACTTGTTTTTTCACGCTATTTTCCATTTACCCAACACTTCTGAGAACCTATCTATGCGATATTCTGAGAACCAGGTGTACTGTATATATATATATATATATATATATATATATATATATATATATATATATATATATATATATATATATATATATATATATATATATATATACAGTGTTACCTCAGTTATTCGTGCTTCTTGGTTCGCATTCTCACTCTATCGCGGTTTTTTTTTTTATAAATTATTATTTTATTTTATGGGTATACACAAAAATATTAAAATATTGAAAAACAAATTTTCAGTATTTTCATTTTTCTATTGAAATTTACGTTGCGTGCTGTTATTTATAATGTAAAGGGTGTTTTTTTAACAGTACAGGGAGGGTTTATACAGTTCGTAAATGAAAAAATTATTGTAAATGAGTATGTGTCACGTCATCATCACCTCATTCATCGTAAGTTTATCTATCACTTTCATAAAAATTTACGTTGCTTGCTGTTATTTATAATGTAAAGGGTGTTTTTTTTAACAGTGCAGGGAGGGTTTATACAGTACGTAAACGAAAAAATCATTGTGATTACCTAATTGTGATTACCTAATTGTGTTTACGGGAAAGAGCCCAAAGCTCGTATCTTCCCGTCTCCTCATCGGTTCCATTTTATACTTAGTGATACTTATCATACCTGTCCTTAAAACTATGGATTGAGATAGTATTAACTACCTCCTCGCTTAGCCAATTCCAATTATCAACTACTCTTACATTGAAAAAGTACTTTCTTACATCCTGCAAAGAAGTTTTCTTACGAAGCTTCAAACTATGACCTCTAGTTCTAGAGCCAGCCATATCAAAATATCGATCCCTATCCACTCTATCATAACCATGAAGGAATTTAAAGACTGTCACCATATCCCCCCTCACTCTTCTAGCTTCGAGTGATGGTAAGTCTAATTCCCTCAGCCTCTCATCATAATTGAGATTGCGTATTTCTGGCACCAGTTTCGTGGCATGTCTTTGAACTTTTTCAAGCTTAGCTATGTGCTTTTTCAAATGCGGATTCCAAAAGGGGGCTGCATATTCGAGTTTTGGCCTCACATAGGTTACATAAATATTTCTGAACATTTCCTTGTCCATGTGCCTGAAGGCTACCCTTACATTTGATAAGAATGCATATGCTGCCCTTACTATGCCATTTATATGTATTTCTGGAGACAAATCTGCCAGTATGTTTACTCCTAGATCTCTCTCATTTTCTGTCTCTTGAAGTTATACTCCAGCCACCGAGTACTCAAGCTTGGGCCTTCTTGCACTTGTACCCATTCTCATTATCTTACATTTTGAAGTATTGAATTTCATTAGCCACTTTTCTGACCACTCATGCAGATTATTTAGATCCTCCTGAAGTTCTCTACCATTGTTCTCGTTTTTTACTTTCTTCACAATCTTTGCATCATCTGCAAACATATTCATGAATGAATTTAGACTCTGGTAGGTCATTTACATATACAAGGAACAAAAGTGGCCCTAAAACTGAACCCTGTGGAACTCCACTACTAACTCTTCTCCATTCAGACACTGAATGTCTTATTCTAACCCTCTGTTCCCTTCCTTCTAAGTAAGTTTTTATCCATTCCAAAACATTTTCACCTATTCTAGCCATTGATTGCAGCTTCCTAATAAGTCTCCCATGTGGAACAGTGTCAAACGCTTTGTAAATGAGTATGTATGTCACGTCATTATCACCTCATTCACCGTAATTTTATCTATCACTTTCATAAAAATTTACGTTGCTTGCTGTTATTTATAATGTAAAGAGTGTTTTTTTAACAGTGCAGGGAGGGTTTATACTGTACGTAAACGAAAAAATAATTGTAAATGAGTATGTATGTCATGTCATTATCACCTCATTCACCGTAATTTTATCTATCACTTTCATAAAAATTTACGTTGCTTGCTGTTATTTATAATGAAAAAGGTGTTTTTTTAACAGTGCAGGGAGGGTTTATACAGTACGTAAACGAAAAAATAATTGTGAATGACTATGTATCTCACGTCATTATCACCTCATTCACCGTAATTTTATCTATCACTTTCATAAAAATTTACATTGCTTGCTGTTATTTATAATGTAAAGGGTGTTTTTTTTAACAGTGCAGGGAGGGTTTATACAGTACGTAAACGAAAAAATAATTGTAAATGAGTATGTATGTCACGTCATTATCACCTCATTCACCGTAATTTTATCTATCACTTTCATAAAAATTTACGTTGTCTGCTGTTATTTATAATGCAAAGGGTCTTTTTTTAACAGTGCAGGGAGGGTTTATACAGTACGTAAACGAAAAAATAATTGTAAATGAGTATGTATGTCACGTCATTATCACCTCACTCACCGTAATTTTATCTATCACTTTCAAAAAAATTTACGTTACTTGCTGTTATTTATAATGTAAAGGGTGTTTTTTTAACAGTGCAGGGAGGGTTTATACAGTACGTAAATGAAAAAATAATTGTAAATGAGTATGTATGTCACGTCATTATCACCTCATTCACCGTAATTTTATCTATCACTTTCATAAAAATTTACGTTGCTTGCTGTTATTTATAATGTAAAGGGTGCTTTTTTAACAGTGCAGGGAGGGTTTATACAGTACGTAAACGAAAAAATAATTGTAAATGAGTATGTATGTCATGTCATTATCACTTCATTCACCGTAATTTTATCTATCACTTTCATAAAAATTTATGTTGCTTGCTGTTATTTATAATGTAAAGGGTGTTTTTTAACAGTGCAGGGAGGGTTTATACAGTGTAAACGTAAAAATATATTAAAATATCTATGCACATATAGGCGGATCCTACTTCGCGGATTTCCTGGTTCGAGCCGGGTCCCGGAACCGAACTACCGCGATAAGTGAGGCAACACTGTATATATATATATATATATATATATATATATATATATATATATATATATATATATATATATATATATATATATATATATATATATATATATATATATATATATATATATATATATATACACAGGGTGTCCAAATAGTCTGAGTACATAGGAAATTTCACTATTTTATTTGTTTATGTTATTTTTCCTTAGATTTAAATAAAATTGTTTTGTTTTAAAAGTATGTGTCAATCTCCTGAGTACCCAGACTTTGTAGACACCCTGTATATATATATATATATATATATATATATATATATATATATATATATATATATATATATATATATATATATATATATATATATATATATATATATATATATATATATATATATATATATATATATATATATATATATATATATATATATATATATATATATATATATATATATATATATATATATATATATATATATATATATATATATATATATATATATATATATATATATATATATATATATATATATATATATATATATATATGAATCATTTTTTACCCCGACCGGGACTCGAATCTAGGACTTATAAATACTAAGTCAAGGTGCTACCAACTACACACCACAGAAGGTATAAAAGGAATCCAACCTTATAGCTTATATCTGCTATACTTAGGGATGAACGCATTCTATCTGAATGCCACTATGTTCATATTACAGATTCCCCAACCTCACTCGTGGCTTCATTTTAGCATTTAATTCAATTCCCAATCTCATTCGGGTCATACAATAACCAAGCAAGCACATTACATATGTGAAAACATGAATCATTTTTTACCTCGACCGAGACTCGAACCTAGGACTTATAATTACTAAGTCAAGGCGCTACCAACTACACACCACAGAAGGGATAAAAGGAATCCAACCTTATAGCTTATATCTGCTATACTTAGGGATGAACACATTTTATCTGAATGCCACTATGTTCGTATTACAGATTCCCCAACCTCACTCGTGGCTTCATTTTAGCATTTAATTCAATTCCCAATCTCATTCGGGTCATACAATAACCAATCAAGCACATTACATATGTGAAAACATGAATCATTTTTTACCCCGACCGGGACTCAAACCTAGGACTTATAATTACTAAGTCAAGGCGCTACCAACTACACCACAGAAGGTTAAAAGGAATCCAATCTTATAGCTTATATCTGCTATACTTAGGAATGAACGCATTCTAACTGAATGCCACTATGTTCATATTACAGATTCCCCAACCTCACTCATGGCTTCATTTTAACATTTAATTCAATTCCCAATCTCATTCGGGCCATGAAATAACCAATTAAGCACATTACATATGTGAAAACATGAATCATTTTCTACCCCGACCGGGACTTGAACCTAGGACTTATGATTACTAATTCAAGGCGCTACCACTACACCAGGTTCGAGTCCCGGTCGGGGTAAAAAATGATTCATATTTTCACATATGTAATGTGCTTAATTGGTTATTTCATGGCCCAAATGAGATTGGGAATTGAATTAAATGCTAAAATGAAGCCACGAGTGAGGTTGGGGAATCTGTAATATGAACATAGTGGCATTCAGTTAGAATGCGTTCATTCGTAAGTGTAGCAGATATAAGCTATAAGGTTGGATTCCCTTCAACCTTCTGTGGTGTAGTGGTAGCGCCTTGACTTAGTAATCATAAGTCCTAGGTTCGAGTCCCGGTCGGGGTAAAAAATTATTCATGTTTTCACATATGTAATGTGCTTAATTGGATATATATATATATATATATATATATATATATATATATATATATATATATATATATATATATATATATATATATATATATATATATATATATATATATACACACTCCTTTTGTGCTCACCTGCGTGTCGTAAAAGTCAACTAAATGGGGCGGAGCAAGGGGACTGAGAATCCCCTCCTCTGTGTTTACTTCCCACAAAAAATCAAAGTATTTTCTTTGACTCAGCCACCCCACTTATAAGGGGGAATATGGCTTTGGTATATGGATATATATATTTATAAAAGGCGCAAAAGCTATGCCAACCAATTATTGACACAACTATTTATCATTTATCACTGTGTATGCTAAATGTCTTTTGCAATAATTTGAAATGTTTCAGGGTGCCAATATTATGTTGTTGACTTTAACATAATAAAAAAGATTACAATCATTTTATTTAATTTAAATAATTAATGGCAACTTCGTAGGCATACTTTTAATTACAAAAAGAAATACTTATAATTAATAAGTGATGTGAACATTTTGTGATAGTGGCACAATAATAAGTTAACCTATAACAATGACAAATACATAATAGTAAAAAGAATAAAAGTAAAACATTCTTACTTTCTATTAATATAAAATACCACAATGAAGAGGAGAGGAAAAATTGAAGCAAAGTAGTTATGTATTCCCCCTAAGGAAGGGGTCAAGAATACTTCCTCCATGTTCCTTTGAATGTCGTAAATGTCAACTAAACAAGGCGGAGCGAGGGGTCTGGAAATACCCTCCTCTGTATTTTCGACTCACAAAGAGTCAAGGTATTTTGCTTTGATTCAACCACTCTCTTATAAGAGGGAATATGGCTCTTGTATATAGATATAGATGGTTAAGTTTTATGCGATGGATGAGTGGGTTCTCTCCTAGTGAGGACTTGAAGATTCTCTGCCAACCAGACTTCATGCTTAATTACGGTGCTACTTTAGCGTGCGTTCTACCTCAGTATCTGTAATCTACACTGTGAAATTACCTTTAGCAGGTGGTCTACCTTACATGATATGAATTTGTAGCCCGTGCTTACCTATTATTACCAATTTGAGCTGAGTGCTCGTGATCAATGTATAAAAATGAATATATTACCTGAGCTTACCTACCAACCTAAGGTTAGGTTGGGGGGTGAGATTAGATTAGGATATATTCTGCAGTATAAAGTTCTTATGGTGGAGGCAGGCTGCACAGTGAAGTGTAAAAGTGGAGGTAGACCACATGCTGAAGTGTTAAGGTGCAGGTAAGACCACATGCTGAAGTGTAAAAGTGCAGGTAGACCACATGCTGAAGTGTAAAAGCGCAGGTAGACTGCACGCTAATCTGCAAATGGCCTGGTAGACTGCATCTTAAGTAACACCGCATATTTTTTCCTTGAGTGGGGGACAAGTATGCCCATTCACGTTTTTTGCATATTTTCATAGATGACTGAATGGGGCAGAGAGACTGTACTGGGATTTCACCCTTCCTATCTTTCTATCACAAAAAGTTAAGGCACAGGAGGATATTCTGGAATAAATACTTTAACCTGAACGTGCCACATTGTAGAATGAGTGAAAGTAAAAATGATGAGTGATATATATGTGACAAGAAAAATGGATGTGTTATCAATCAATGAAACAAACTTTGAAATGGAAAAGCCTTGGAGAAGGGGTGTGTTCTTTGACTCAACCACCACTTGTATAATGGTGAGTGTGGCATTTGCATCAACACCAAGATAAATGAATTACCTAAAATAAGTAGGGTGGGCCAACAAGAAATACCAAGATGTTTCCACAATTTTGCCTGAGAATCATTTACCACAGGATGATGTATGTCATACTTCTGAATGGCTGCCTCAATATTAGCCGAAACTCTTTCATTTTCAAATTTAGCCGAATGTACACCAACCTACAAAAATAAAGTGTAAATTTAATTAAAAATGTGAAAGGAAACTTATCCTAACACAGAGGTGTAAATCATCTAAAAGACTATCAAAGTTTTATACAGCATAATCATATAATTAGCTTTTTTTAAGAGTGTGACATTGCGATAGGCAAAAAAATTGCCTTCATCAAAAAAACCCTGGGAACGAAGAAAACATAAAGATAATGGAAAATTAAAATGTTAAGGACAAGGCAGAGATGAGGTAATGATACACAGTAGGAAAAGGATAGGCTGGAAGAATAGTCGAAGTACAGAGGACCGAGTTTCAGAGTCTGGAGGTGGAAGGGAAGAAGCAGTCGCTGCACCGACCAATCCGCAAGCTACAAATCTTCACAGAGTACCTGTGAGATGAGGCCGCTTGGAGTGTTACGCGACATTGGCAGTGAGGGAGGGATGCAACTCGCCAACTCATCAGAGTGGCGATGGAGGAAGTAGCGACAGAAAAGACAAAGGGTTGAGAACTTACAGCCAAGAGAAAGAGAATCAAGATTAGGAAAGTTATTAAAACAAGACGGCTGTATATTTGTAACATTTCAATAAAAACACCAAAATTAATAGGAAACTTACAACAAGAACTTCCCCATTTTCAGGCGGGTGTTTATCTTCTAGACACTCTAAGTCTGGAAGGATGTGCATGCAATTTATGCAGCAATATGTGAAAAAATCTAAAACTGATATTCGGCCCTTGAGATCGCCCACCAGGGTAAGTGCACGGGATACGTTGAACCATTCAAGCCCTGCAATTGCAAAAACAAATAAAATAACTCAGGTTCAGCACTCAACAAAACAAGAAAATTAATAACATACATACTTTGTCATGGAACAATGTTAAATTTTTGCAAAACTCTTTCAAAATCTCATAATATTCATATAAATGACCACTCTGCATAGTTTACCTCAAACTAAAGCTCTTTCCACTTTTTATGCTAGAAACCACACCTTTAGACAGTGGGGAAGGATTTACTATCACCAACTAACACAAGAAAGTTACTGACATAAAATTTAGTTTGTCCAATAAAACTCCAAAAGGTATAATAAGTACAGTGTTGCCTCACTTATCGCGGTAGTTCGGTTCCGGGACACGGCGCGAACCAGGAAATCCGTGAAGTAGGATCAGCCTATATGTACATATTTATTTTAATATATTTTTACATTTACACTGTATAAACTGTCCCTGTACTGTTAACATACCACCCTTTACCTCATAGATAACAGCATGCAAGCGTAAATTTATATGAAAGTGATAGGAAATCTTACCGAGAATGTGATGATGACGTGACATACATACTCATTTACAATTATTTTTTCGTTTACGTACTGTATAAACCCTCCCTGCACTGTTAAAAAAAACACCCTTAACATTATAGATAACAGCAAGCATCGTAAATTTTTATGAAAGTGATAGGAAAACTTACCGTGAATGTGATGATGACGAGACATACATACTCATTTACAATTATTTTTTCGTTTACGTACTGTATAAACCCTCCCTGCACTGTTAGAAAAAACACCCTTTACATTATAAATAACAGCAAGCAACGTAAATTTTTATGAAAATGATAGATAAAATTACGGTGAATGAGGTGATGATGACGTGACATACATACTCATTTACAATTATTTTTTCATTTACGTACTGTATAAACCCTCCCTGCACTGTTAAAAAAAACACCATTTACATTATAAATAACAGAAAGCAACGTAAATTTTAATGAAAGTGATAGGAAAATTTACCGTGAATGTGATGATGATGACGTGACATACATACTCATTTACAATTATTTTTTCGTTTACGTACTGTATAAACCCTCCCTGCACTGTTAAAAAAACACCTTTTACATTATAAATAACAGCAAGCAACGTAAATTTTTATGAAAGTGATAGATAAAATTACGGTGAATGAGGTGATGATGACGTAACATACATACTCATTTACAATTATTTTTTCGTTTATGTACTGTATAAACCCTCCCTGAACTGTTAAAAAAACACCCTTTACATTATAAATAACAGCAAGCAACGTAAATTTTTATGAAAGTGATAGATAAAATTACGGTGAATGAGGTGATGATGACGTGACATGCATACTCATTTACAATTATTTTTTCGGTTACGTACTGTATAAACCCTCCCTGCACTGTTAAAAAAACACCCTTTACATTATAAATAACAGCAAGCAACGTAAATTTTTATGAAAGTGATGGATAAAATTACGGTGAATGAAGTGATGATGACGTGACACACATACTCATTTACAATTATTTTTTCGTTTACGAACTGTATAAACCCTCCCTGCACTGTTAAAAAAACACCCTTTACATTATAAATAACAGCACGCAACGTAAATTTTTATGAAAGTGATAGATAAAATTACGATGAATGAGGTGATGATGACGTGACACACATACTCATTTACAATTATTTTTTCGTTTACAAACTGTATAAACCCTCCCTGCACTGTTAAAAAAACACCCTTTACATTATAAATAACAGCAAGCAACGTAAATTTACATTTCCAATAAAAAAATTAAAATACTGAAAAAAAAAAATTTTCAATATTTTAATATTTTTGCGTATACCCATAAAATAAAATAATAATTTATCCAAAAAAAAACCGCAATAGAGTGAGAACGCGAACCAAGAAACGCGAATAACCGGGGTAACACTGTATATACAATTAGTATTTAAGTTACATTAACTGGCCCCTAGACTTTCGGAGACTACTGCCTCCATCT